CTTGTCTTTAGACAGCTAACCTACAGAACTCGTTACGATTTACCCCGTGGCTTGAGTCCTAATTGACCTGAAAATATAGGGGTTGGCTGATAGTATTAGCCCAGTTACATGCATAGCGTGTGTATACTGTCAACTGACCACTGGGTCTACTTTCTCATTTAACTTCCGCTTTGGGAAGTATGTGGCTATCTCGGTATTTGCGATTTATGATTGACCTTCAATAAAGGTACCGAAATCGATATTGTATCACTTGTCAGTTGTGATGTTGTCTCCTCCTTGGAATTTTGCGTCCTTAACTAGTTTCAATGAGTTATTCATTCATATCAAGTTACAGCTTGGCACCGTATATCACGACGGTTACCATCGCTTGTTTTATGTTGTATTTGCATGTTTGAGTGAATATATCGGGCAATTACGAACTGACTTAAGGACTGTCTCCAGACTTGGTAATTCGAGTACAAAATCGATGCACGTTTATTCCGGAAACACCTGTGCACGTGCAAAGCATCACAAAGTTACTCTTGGTTCTCTACTTTATTCCCAAACTTTCCTTCGCGAGGAAATTGTTTTAATTAATTACTGCGGAGGGATCTCAAATTAATATACAATATGGGAGTCGAGCAAAGAGGACTGAAAATAGTCGGGCTCTTTGAGTGCGCGAAAGACACTCCATAACCAACTTGGCTCAAAGTATACTCGCATGATCGGCTAAGATGATAAGTTCCATGAACTAGCTTGTTGAATTCAAAGATCCAGTCTGACCATAACATCCAATGAAATGTTTGGTAAAAGTGAATGATCGGGCTGCAAGAATAATATCTGCCTGTTCGAACTAGCCGAAGGTCGAGTAGGAAACAGAAGTGAATAGTCGCCAGATGTCAGGGTAACTCACTCGGCTATCCTCGGTGGCCAGACCTGAGACAACGGGTGATCATACTAACGTAATTTTGGCAGCGTGGCGCATACAGAGGTGCGGGGCCGTGGAATAGCCTGTAGTAGGGACTTTTCACAAGATGAGCAAACTACTCAGCCCGATAACTGAGTAGCTGAAAATGGTACAACGGCAATATTGCTATGTTTGGCTTGTCATCGACCTAAGAAATAATGGACTCACAAATAAGCCGGAAAAAAGTCAAAGGTGTCAAAGAGTAATTAGTTCTAGGTCAATCAGTAAGACTCCACCTATAGCCGTCACCTTATTTCTTTGGATATCGTCTGCTGGGAGGAGAGGCTTCCATATACCATAAGCCTCTACAGTCTTCATGACATTATTATGGCAAATGCGATTTAGAATGAGAATTGTTGTGGGAACTGAAGTATCGAGTTTTCCATCAGTGAGTCATATGACAAATATGCAGATTAAAAAAAATAAGAAACCGCTTGTCTGCGGGGAACTGCGTCCCTCGAGGACACAAACGTGCAAATACTGAGGATACGAAGAAGCTGGCTTCTCTGGTGTCATCAGTCGGCCACACAACTACAGGCTGAACGTCAAGAATGCGAGTTAAAGTCAGTTAAGCACCTAACAACGCTCCCCCGCTGCGCTAATGAGTTCACCTCGTGTCGGCTGAATAGGGGGCGCTCACCGATACATCCGGACCTCAGGAAGAAAATAAGCAGTTCCGGTTTTCCTTGGAACTGGGGCCCTACAGTCCACACGGGCGCCTGCATAACGAGTAGCAATCAATAATGTTTTTAATGACTAGGCAAGGTGCACTATCAGCCCAAGTTCAGCAGCCTAGAGCAGGCCTGTTTGTGAAAATGGACCCAAAAACTAGTCTGAAAGCAGTGACTAATTACTATTTTTCCGGCACTTAGCCTCTCCTAGTCTTCAAAATATGCTATTAGGTAGTGCATCTTTTCATCGAACAGTAAACAGGCGTGATATCAGAAGTCGTCCACGACATCTCCCACATTGACAACTCTAGCACATTTACAGCTACATTTGCTTCAACTAGACGGCAAAAGGCACTCGTCGTATGGGACCCTTTGTTAGTAACCAAGACCAGATACGGATACATGGTGTAATCACGAACAATTGTGGTCTGCGTTCCAAAATTATTAGGAGATGACGATAGGGTTCAAGGATTTTACAACCAACGTAAGTAACTTCTGTATCATACTCAGTCCACCGACATTGCAGGGGATGGAATAGACACAGTGACAAATACGAAATCCTTGACAATTTTTTCAAAATTAGTTGATCTACCAATGATCACTGACTCCTGAACTTTCCTGATAGGTAGAATAAAACACCTGCCTCAAATCAAAAGGGAAACCTGTAGAACTGACAATGCGATTTCTAGGGGGTCATCGCAGAAACAAACTAAATAGCCAAAAGTCCGAAAGAGGCCACGTCCGGCGCTGCCACACGAGGTACACACACAACAGCGATGACGTGCGTGTGAATTAGTTCATAATGAGGCAAACTTTCGATGCACCACCTTGCTTTCTCTACCCCTATCCACCTTGCTCTGATCACCATAAAGCGTCAAGACGACTGGAGGTGGGCGTGGATGCGGTGGTTGACAAATTTAAACAACCAGTCTATGTGTACTACACGCGAGTCAGCACCCACTTCACGTGAGGGATGTATTATGGCGGTCTTCTCCCGTGGTCGCTGACGCGGCCGCTTACCCATGCCTCTCTTTCGGTCCCCCTAGCACAGCTGTCAATCATTTCTGCGCGCGTGTGACAGCCTCAGCGTCAGCGACACCGTGACGCCCACCGATATTTCCGTCTTCTTCGACTAGTTGCAGCGGACAGAGCTAATGTGCACGCACTACGCAGCGGCGCTGATGACCTGAAACGACTAGGACTCTTGAAGAAGAGGACACGATCGCTGGGACAAGAGCTTTATTAGCCTGACGTTTCGGATCCCTGCTCGAACCCATCATCAGAGACACAAGCAGATACGGGTGATTCATGCACAAGGGGCTACAGTAGTTATTCGGCTCAGTCGTCATGCCACCGCCTACCTATGAATATTTACGGCTCCCCCCCCCCTTCATCAGGGATCGTTGCACGTGATGTGATGACTGTTTGATGGCCGAAATTTGCGTCGTTAATTGCCGCAATTTCATCACGTGCGTTGTATGTTAGTGTGATGATTGCTCGACCATCTGACGCACCGACCCTGGTGTTTGGAAACGTGTTCACCTGTGCGCTCCGCGCGTGGCTAATTACTCCGCCTAGGCGAAGTCTCAGCACCGAGTATGGAAGGGGAAACTCATCGCACTTGTTAATAGACTGGGGACCAGTAAACCATGATTCCAGTAGCTCCCGGCTCACGCGGTTGTCACCTCTTGCGAGAATTTCGGCCTCGTCGAATTTGAATGTGTGACCGGATCTCGTCGAATGAGCCGCAAATTGAGAGCTGGCGTCATTTCTGCGCACCGCTGCAGCGTGTTCGGCCATTCGCGTTTTGAGTTGTCTCCCAGTTTCTCCGGCGTAGTTCCCTTGTCTGCAACTGCACCAGATCCGATAAACGACTCCAGATCTTTCATGCCGTTGCAGTGAGTCTTTCGGTTTCATTAACTGACGTCCGATGGTTGCCTCCGGTCTTGTGTAACTCCAACCCCAAGTGGTGCGAGAAGGCGGCCGACAGCTTCTGAAACGTTCTTGGCATATGGGAGCGCTCGGCAACATTTGGCGTCCGTGCAGTTAGGCCTTTCGTTCCCTTTGCGTATGCACCGGTTACGAAGTTGCACGGGTAGCCATTAGTTTTGAATACCCGTCGGTGGTATTGTAAATCGGCAATCTTGTCTTCCGGTTCACTGCAGTGCGTTTCGACACGCCAATAGAGCGTCCTTACACGACTGCGTTTGTGGCTTCCCAGTCCATTAACAAGTGTAATGATCTTCCCCTTCCATACTCGGTGCTAAGACTTCGCCTAGGCGGAGTAATTAGCCACGCGCGGAGCGCACAGGTGAACACGTTTCCAAACACCAGGGTCGGTGCGTCAGATGGTCGAGCAATCATCACACTAACATACAACGCACGTGATGAAATTGCGGCAATTAACGACGCAAATTTCGGCCATCAAACAGTCATCACATCACGTGCAACGATCCCTGATGAAGGGGGGGGGAGCCGTAAATATTCATAGGTAGGCGGTGGCATGACGACTGAGCCGAATAACTACTGTAGCCCCTTGTGCATGAATCACCCGTATCTGCTTGTGTCTCTGATGATGGGTTCGAGCAGGGATCCGAAACGTCAGGCTAATAAAACTCTTGTCCCAGCGATCGTGTCTCCTTCTTCAAGACTGCTCCCTGGTACTCGTGTCTTCGCTTCTATTGACTTGCCCTATGTTGGAGTGTCTAAATTGTCCCTGCCTGCTGATCCGCGTCTACGCTCTTTAGCCTCAGGCAAAGTGCCTGTCTTCCCGTCTTTTGATCTGGAAATCTTCCAATTGTCGGCCATCGCACTTCGACGAATGCCTCATCCGCTGGATCCAACAGGGCCATTTTCTTCCAGAAGCTTTGCTTGCCCCAGATCGAATAGCATATATCGCTAAAATATTTAGGATTTAAAAATGTTTCTGATTTCGAGATTTTTAAGACCACACGATGTCCGTAGATACAGCATCGCACATCTCCGTTTACCAATGCTGCTCATGAAACGTACAACAAAGTGCCTGTCTTCCCGTCTTTTGATCTGGAAATCTTCCAATTGTCGGCCATCGCACTTCGACGAATGCCTCATCCGCTGGATCCAACAGGGCCATTTTCTTCCAGAAGCTTTGCCTGCCCCAGATCGAATATCATATATCGCTAAAATCTGTTCGGTGTTCGGCCATGTCCATCAGTGCGTTATGCAAGTCGCATCTAGGTTTGCAGTCGCAACCTTATCTTGGGGACGATGAAACGCTAGCGTTTTCAACACTTTCCAGCGCACATCGCTCCGGTCACTAGCACGTCACACTTGTCAAGCTCCCGGACGAGGATTTAGTTCGCTAACTGTCAGTGACGCCGGTGGAGGTGCAACCAAGTCGTATTCTAGCGGATCGATAGGCGGAAGGGAGTGTTGTTCAGGAAAAGCCTGTGTTCCGCGCTGGCCGGTGGAAGGCGTTGGTCAAGGCAAGACTGAGTTCTGTGCGGAGTCGCGGGAGAGAGCCACTGATGTCGCAACCGTAGGTTCCTGGCGAGGTTCACCTCCTTCAAGGTAGCGCGGGCAGTGTCTACGCGACAACTGAGGTTCCCAGTGACGATCAGATTTTCCATCATCAGCGCAGACGCGAGATGGGCCTGTAGGTCTTCGAGGAATTTGTTCTTAACGTCGTCGGAGATAGTCAGTAGGGAGGTGGGGTAGAAGCTAATTACGCCAGTGAATTTCTTCTCCCAGGGCGGTCTAGGTGCGTTGATCGACCACGAGAAGCTTCCCGAATAAAAGTCGGGATTACTATGACAGACGTTACTATAGTCGGAAGTGTCAGTAGTTCAGAAGGCAGAGATAGCAATTGTCCAACTAAATGTTAGCTGCAGCGCAAGGTACATGAGAGAGTGAGCTTGATCTTTGTACAACTGCGGCCAGTTTTTGAGGTGGAAAACGCCCATCGGTACCGACAGGCGGCACCAGCAGCCAACTGGCAAGGCTGTCGGTAGCTGTTGCCACGGCCAGCAGGCGGTCACACGTAGCTTACTTGCCATAACTACTGCCAATAGTGCATTGCACAGAATTTGATCTGGATGCTTCCTTACGAGCTCGACCAGTACTGAGCTCCACTGACAGTCTCTCAGAACTTACTGCAAGGTAGGAGTTGCATTTTCGAGAACTGATTGGCGTGGCTAGCACCGTTCTCCAGAAACTCAGTGTCCACCTATTCCTCTCTATGCCAAAACGGTGGCTCTATGGTGAAAATTTTGTCATATCTTTTTTGCGCACAGCTTTTCCAAAGTTGTTCCCTTTGCTATGGAGCTCCCAATTTCGTCTTTACCAAATTTTTGTTAAAGCTTATGTGGTCGGATCTTATTTTGTAGCCGTATCTGCAGTAGACAAGCCCCAGACTAACCCCTAACCCCCAAGCCCAACCCTAACCCCTAACAGGTACGGCTACGAAATAGGATCTTGCCGTCTATGTTTACCTACCCTCAAGACAGTGCCGTTCCGAATGCGTTCAAAAACCGCACAACCAGTTACTAGTGGAATTGCCTCTTACATGCCACAGGCGTTGGTGACGTCGAAGAACCTACTACCTTGGCAGCCAAGATTTGCTCAATACAACTCGTAAGTTGGCTTGGGATCGGGCTATCGATCACTGTTACCAGCCTAAGGAGTTGACCCTGAATGTGAACGTGAGCTACTTTTTCAGGCGTTTGCACTCTATTCTATCAGTCAACCAGTATTAGTGTACCACCGTATTGGCCGTTTTCTGGTGCGCACCTCCATCGTTTCCCTATCGCTGTCAAGACAGTAACAGACGAGTTCACCAGTGCTCCGTCCCTTTCGTTAACGAACTTCTGGCAGAACGCCTCTGTCTAGGTTTAACGCTGCGAACTTTCCAATAGAATTGGCAACGTTCCGCACCGCCTGTCTATCCTCTGGATACCCAGGTTCTGACGCAGATGCAATCACTGCTACGCAATTCCTCTGTCAATGGACCCCACATCAAGCTGGAGGCGGCACTTCTCAGACTCCATGTCGTTTCACATCACCAGTAATGTCCTCCAGCATTTCGCAATGAATGTCTTGACAACCGCAAGCCAACCAACTTGCTGAAAAGGGGGCAGGCACTCTGTGATGAGCTACAGAAATGTTTACAGAGCGCCTGCCCACAGATGTCTAAATAGTATTGGTGTCTTGTCCTAAATATCTCATGGTCTCACGGCTAATCAAGAGAACAGATAGGATGATGGAGGTGCAGCGGTTCCGGCCGCCCTTCGTTGCCCAGCTCTCCACTTCGCTGCTGCCGATTACGAATGATTAAATAATAATTAATATAGCAGCCTTGGCGGAAGAAATGGCCTCCCTAAAACTCGATCTTGCGCGCTTCAACTCTCGTTGGCCATTAAGCCGTCCTCGTAGTCGTTTTTGTTCTCATCCTCGAACACGTGAAACCTGTTGGTATCATAAGAACTTTATTTCCAAGACGGTTTTCCCGTACTTTCAAGTTTGTGAAGCCAGCAAGAAAACAGAGGCGATTGCTTTCTCAGGCACCTCTTGACTTGGCGTCACTTCCCACTTTTGGGATTGTCTGACTCGTAGACGTTTCCTCGAGGACACCGGACTCTCTGTCAGCGTTGTCCCTAAAAATTCGACTGATGGCTGCAGCCCCAGGTTGCCAGCTGTTCCTACATCCTCAGGTTTGGCAGTCTTTTTCTCACACTGGATGTACATGCACAAAGATATTCTTTCTTGTACGCATTTGGTAGCAACCAACGTCTCACTCAAATTTTAAACTTGAGGGTAGGGTATTTTTCGCCTTTTAGAAAGCTTCCAATTATGGGATTTCTGGACCTTGAAATGCCCACTCACAAAGGCGTCACATATGTCCATCTATCAATGTTACTTATAAAGTATGTAATGTGATCCCCAGCCAGTGTAGAATTTCAGGAATCCTATGTGACATCTTTTAATGGCATATATAAATGTGTTTTTTCTGACACAAAAAATGTGTAGCCTGTAGTTTGAACACCCTGAATGCAAGTGTAACGACGAGTCAGGTTCAAAATCACTGGGAAAGTGGAAAAGTCTTTTAAAACCAAAAATACCCTTTCCTGAAGTATAACATTTGAAAAGGACTTTATTTAATGTCGAATAAGTACAAGAAACGATACCTTTATGCATGTTTTCCATACAATTTACTTGAATTTCTAAACCCATCCAAGTTCAGCAGGAAAATTTCGCACTAGTCATTTCTTGCGCAATATATTTTTTGCAGGCAATTAGAAAGAAGCTTTTTCATGAGCCGGCAAAATAGCTTAGAATGATATCGCAAGGCAATTAGTAGCACAAGCCCACTTAAGTAGCCTTTTCAAATCGAAGACATTCCAGAATTTTGGTTAACATTCCGTGGGATAACATACCTGCTGTAGACCTCCGTCCCCCTCCTCCTGGATCTTCGTACTTGATGAAGTCACCAGTGTAGCCCTAGGCTCTGATTTCCCAACTGGGTTTAGTCTTCTCGTGCACTGCCGGCGTGACCGATAACTTGACCTTGCAACTACTCAGTCAGTTCGCTGCTTGCGCTCCCTTGCAACTTCATACAACATATCGGTTCTAGGTACGTACAGGGTGTGACCGATCTGATGAAATGTTGGCCGAAATTCTGAAATACGTTTTCGATTAGGAAGGATTACTTAGGTAGAGTTGTAATGTTCCCTATCAAACGACGAAATCCCATAGTATTTTGCAATTACGGGATGTCGGCTTTTGAATGTACTTCTTTTTGACCTTCTATAGGAACCCCACTCGGTAAAAAATGACTGCCTATGTAGCATGCATTTTTCACATTGGTTTCCGGTGGTCTCATAAATTCAAATATTTTTTATGGAAAATATGCATAAAAATATACTTTCCTTTACTTATTTGACAGAAAATAACATTGTCTTTATATTTTATACCCGAAGACAGCGTATATTTAGGATTTAAAAATGTTTCTGATTTCGAGATTTTTAAGACCACACGATGTCCGTAGATACAGCATCGCACATCTCCGTTTACCAATGCTGCTCATGAAACGTACAACAAAGTCCACGTCCAGTGCAAAATTTTATGAACTCAACATGATACCTTCTTAAAGACATAGAGGAATATATGATTTTTTGTACGTAAAACATGCACCATGTAGGCTGGAAGCGCTAAGTAGTAATGCAACGGCTGATCTGGCCCAAAATTAATAGGGAATTGGGAAACTTTTTCAGAACCCAAATATACGCTTTCTTCGGGCATAAAATATAAAGACGATGTTATTATCTGCCAAATAAGTAAAAGAAGGCATATTATTATGCTAATTTTTCCTAAACAATATTTGAATCCATAAGACCGCCGGAAATCAATGCGAAAAATACATGCTACATAGGCAGTCATTTTTTACCGAGTGTGGTTCCTATATGAGGTCGAAAAGAAGTACATTCAAAAGCCGACATCCCGTCAATTGCAAAATACTATGGGATTTTGTCGTTTGATAGGGAACATTACAACCCTACCTAAGTAATCCTTTCTGACCGAAAACGTATTTCAGAATTTCGGCCAACATTTCATCAGATCGGTCACGCAGTCTATAGCTTGCGCTTATTGGGACCTTCGCCGACACCCTAACATTACCAACCATCAATTCAGCAGTTGCGAGGTCGGACGTGACATTGTGCTTCACATCCGCAACGCAGGTCCTTCTGTGTTCTACCTGGGCGATTGATGCAGGCCTGTCTGCAGGCTACGAAGGCGGAATTTTAGCACGTGCTGCAACTTGGTAGCATTCGACCTTCTGAGAGTTCCTAGGCGTCCCCTCTGCGCATCGTGCCCAAGGTAACACCTGGCGACTGGCGACTATGTACCGAGGACCTAACAACGCCACTATTCGCGGATCGGTGTCCAGTGCTTCACCTTCAGGACTCCGTTGGAGCCTTTTTTTGACAAAGCGGTTTTTTCGAAGATCGACATTGTGCGTGCCTTTCATTAAATAACGATCGTTCCGAGGATATGCCCAAAACTGATGAAATTGCCCCGTCCTGTCTCTTCGAATTCATGCGCATACCTTTCGACCTTCGCCATTGCGTTCAGAAGCTCTAGTGATTCATCGGCCATCTCCTACGTGGCCTGCCGCTCTGTGCGCACCTGCACGGTTACCTCATGATGGTTAGTCGAAATGCTGCAGAACACAAGGAACATCTCGCCTTGGTGTTTTACCGCCTCGTAGAGTATGGTGTCATCATTAATCCGTCCAGATACGTATTCGACGCGTCCTCTCTCAATTTCCTTCGTCATTATACCGATTCAGAAGGCAACGTTCTCTGCCCTCCAGGATTGGATGCATTCGTGGTTTCTCTCCAACAACAACCAGACGCCAGTTCCAACAGTCCTCCGGTAAGGTCAGCCTTTGCTGTCAGTTTCTGCCGAACTGTGCTGACCTCACGCTGTCGCACTCAAGCGTGTTTGCCGGTCCAAAGTATCCCCTCGACCTTACTGATGAGTCATTGACTGCCTTGCTGACGTTGCCTTGTTTACGCATCTCATTCGCAGAGCTACTCTCTAGCTTCTGGTAGACACCTCGACAGCAGCTGTTGGCGCGTTCTCCAGCAACGCCTTATTGGCTAAACCTGCCTTTGGCTTCCTCTTCCTCCAAGAAACTCTCGTCAGCCCAAACATGCTAAAGCACGCTTGTCGTGAACTCGCGGCCATACAATTAGCCTTGAAACGCTTCCGCCACTTTCTTGAAAGTCGTGACTTCACAATTTTCGAGGGATACAGGCCTTTTTGGTTCTTCTTTCTATCCCAGGCCGACCAGTTCAATCCGAGGTAGATTGAAGCAGTCTACTCGGCGTGGCGATGATACCCAAACTGGTTTCGTCAGTTCGCTGGTTGCTACGCGTGGCTCAGCCTTCGGCTTACCGACACCGTGCTGCAGTTCGACACTTTTGTGTTCAACGATTGGCTGCGGCTGGACAAAGCTCGGGTGCACACGCGCACCTCGCGCCGTGGCCACCACATCGCCATCTGAGTCGTCTGTACTCCCTCTTGTTTCAGTAAAGGTTACCCAACTAACTCTGTCTCCCTAACAATTGATTTGCGAACTTCTCGTTTTCAACTATCGTACTCCAACAAGATCGCCCATCCGGAAATCTCACAGTTCACCAACGACAGCCGCCACATCGGTAAAATAAAGATTGAAGGGGCTGACTTGTTGAGCAGACCTTCGTCCTCTGCGCATCGGCCCTCACGTGGGATCGATCTGGCCCCCATGGTCGCCTGAGTAACGAAGACTTGCCTGCCCTGTCGACTAGTCGATTAGCGGTCTCCAGCTTGTGAACTTGCCCTGACAACCTGCGCCGGTACAATCCTCTGCGACACCTGGGCTTCTTCTCATTGTCCATTTGCGTACGCTTTGATGTATCAAGCCCTGGTTCAATTTCTTCATGGACTCTCCCAGCATCGGATACGAGCTTCCCGGAAGTTCCTCGCAAAACGGTTAGTATGATCTGGCATGAACAAGGAGGTCGCAGTTTCGGCAGGAGCGTGTTTTGGCTGCCCAAGGAACAAAGTTTGGTGTCATAACACGTCTTCATCAGGCATCTTTCTCAACCCCAATCCGGCGTTTTAGTCATGTCTGTCTGAATTTCGTAGACCTCTCGCCTCCATCTAATGGCTACACATTTCCTCACCTGTGTCGATCGGTACACCCACTGGTCTGAAACCATTTCCTCACGGAATGTGGAGACAAATAACATCATCAGTTGTTAGGTCACCATGTTAGGCACCCTATCAATGGCTGTGACTTAACGAGACGCCTGGATAGATTCGGCCTATTTCTAAGCAATCTTAACCTTCTTTGGCTGCTCACGCATTCGGACGGCAGTCTACCGTCCAGCTGTCGACGGTATGATCAGTCGCTTCCACCTTAGACGCAAGACTTTCCCACGTGCCGCAGAGGACACTGTAGCCTACGCGGACCACCTTCCTCTGGCATTTCTCGGCATTCGAGTGCACTGAAGTCGGACTTGTAAAATAAAGTGGCCGAATAGGTTCTCGCCGTTTCCCTCTGACTACTTAGCGAAATTATCGCCCCGATTCGTCACGGTGTAGACGAGAATCCTCGCCACTTCTTGTATCGCCTTCGACAGTTCATGCATTCTCTGTCGCCGTTTCCACCACTAAGTCCATCGACCGGGTCCTGTGTGGAAAACGGGTTGGTTGACTGCACTCACATTTTCATTCTGTGGGACTGTTTGGGCAAGCCACTAGAATCGTCCTCAGAAGGACTGTTCAGGGTGATCGCCTGTGGTGTCAAAGCCCACTGGGTCCTTCGCAGTGACAAGAAGGACCTGATTCAGCGTTGCTTGGGTCAGGGTAACTTTTTCAGAAAAAAACACCGGACCAGCCCCACGGACAAAGATGTGTTGAAATCCAATCCCCTCTTACTCCTTCTACCTCACCTCCCTGCTCCATCGTATCTGAACGTAACTCTTTCAGTATCAGATTGGCAAAGTTGAGATATCCGGGTTGATTATTTGAATATGAAGACAGGCTCTCCGGAAAAGGTTTATTTAAGTGTTGACGTTTCAAAGAGCTGGGTCGCTCTTCATTGTCAAAGCGTAAACTGCACTTAATCGATCAGAGATTTAATTTAAAGTGGCAAGTTGTGTTGGCCGGCCTCATGCTGATCGATTTTTTTCTTCTCCCGCTGCGTCGGCCTCTCGGGAAATGGTTGACTGGCGTTTTACCTGTGTGCTTTATGAGTCACCACTCCGACGAGGGGAGCTGATTGGACTTTAGTCGGGCGGTCGGTCTGGCGGTTCTTGTTCTTCCTCACCGACTAAATTCAGCGTCGGGCTATCTCCGTGCGGCCTTCTTAAGTCCGGCGTGGTTGTTTAGACCTGAGCTCTACGATTGTGATGACGTAGGACTTTGTAAGCTGCAGGAAGGTCCAGATGCCTGTTGATAGAGTGGGCATCGGAGAGCTACGCCTCGAGAGTTAGCCGTTCTGTTTTTGTGTTGCCTCGGCCTAAGATGGTAGCCCTCTGGAGGTCAAAAGTATGCTCCGTTTCTCCAACGTGTGTTGCTAGTTGAGAGTTAGGGTCTAACCTCCGAGTGGCCGATTTGTGTTCTTGTAGGCGAGTTTGCAATTTCCGCCCGGTTTCGCCCACATAGTTGCAGTCACCCTCATTGCATTTTATTTTGTAGATTACTGCTGACGTTTCAGCGGGTGGCAATGCGTCCTTCAGTTGCATCAGGCGACGTTGAATTGTTGCTTGTCGTCGATGGGCTATGCTTACTCTGGTGGGTTTTAACAGTCGCGAGACCGCTTCAGAGACCCCTTTAACGTAAGGAATGGCCCTCCAGACTTCGGGTTGCTGCTCATCTAGCCGTCATTTGGCAGTCGTCGAGTGCACTTTCCAACCGTCCTATTTCTGGTGTTTTCGGCATTTTATTTACTTCCGGCGTCGTTTTCAAGCCGGTTTTCGCTCTACCCACTGGGTATTATGGTGGCAGTTTTCTTTATCTCTTGTTTGTACGCAATTTTTCTCGGTAGTAATTCCCTCTGCTGTACATTTTCAAAATTTGCCCTTATTCCATTTTGTTTATGTCGGTGTTTTTTAACCCTAACGACAGACCCGTTCCGACTATTTTAAAAAATCGTCTGACTGGTTAATAACTGAACCGTCTCTTTCCTATTCTAAGTGTGTCGGTGACATCAAGAGACCTACTGGTTTGGCAGCTAAACTTGCCTTAATAGGACACGTAAGTTAGCATGGACCGAATCGTCAACCCCTGTTACCCGCTAAAGCTGCGTCAATACTGACAGAGGTTGAGGAAGATGGTGTTGTGGAGAGGTCTCCCTGCATCAGATAGATACATAAACGAGCCGTCTCCTTCAGTAACCAGCCCGATTTTAAAAGCAAGTGGGTGTCCTTAGTAGGTGGCGAAGTTCCATCTTCAGGGCGTGGTTCATCAAGTAAGCCAGCAGTCTTCTCCAGAGGTGCCAGATTTCAGCTGCTTTCATTTTTTGCAAGGCAATAGCTCGTAGGAGTCGTGCTTCGTTGCCTAAGCGCCTAGCGGCTAAAGTCTCACATCAGCATCCCTATTACCAGCGAAAACTCTCGTAGACAGAGAGCTCCTCCAGAGTGGACGGTAAATGTTTACAGTGGTTAATTGTCTCTTAACACTGGACCCTACGATTGTGGAGGAACCAAAGCGAAATTTTGGCTTAGCGGGGAGTGCGCACGCTTGCTGTTTGAGCTCGTCAAACATGCTCTTGGTGATCGTTGTGCCCCATTTCGAGTCAAGGTTGTAGTAGAGGGTGACTAAGTGTTTATTAACGAACTGCACTTTCTCGGAATAGTTAGGGCCCAAGAGAAGAAAGCTTCGGACTAACCAAACGCCGCCGCCGCCGCTGTCGTGAAGTGTCGTTGGGAGAGCCGAAGTAGTCACATAATTAAAAGAGGAAAGGGCAAAGGCTTGTAGGACGCCCGTGATACTGATGAACTTCGTAGATTCTCTTTACTGTGTGCCCAGACATTTTTCCTGTGATACGAAATTTGCCTCAAAGCCGTCTTCCAATGATTGTCTAATGTTGAATATTTCATGCGTCTCCGTTTACATGGTGAAATCGCTTTTGCTGTTCATTCTCCGTACACCTCTGAGTAAATGGTTCAGGAAAATTCCAGCATTGCCTTTGGCGATGCTTTCGGATGCTGCGATACTCCTGCATTAACAACACTAGGGGTTGTATCGCCAGCAGACAAAAAGAGACTAGAGGACATCGTCTGAGCCAACAAGACGCCTGCAAATTCCATTTAAGGTGACCCTTACTGAGGCGCTGGAATTTCGGCCCCAGTGATTTGCGCACAGACACTGCCCAGGGAGCATGGACAAAAATCCCTCATGGGGTCCCATGCGATGCATGCGGAGATGGTAGATCTAGTACCGGAGAGAAGTGCTTTTCCATTGTTTCAAATTTGCAGCCAACAAGACAATAGGATAATATGCAAATACTTTAATCATCTGATTTACGGCCGACGGTACGTCGAAGAATCACTCAGAGTTTTGGATCTGTGACGGCTCGGAGTTATTCTAGTTTCTACGCAATA